GCTCTTCCTAGCCTCCTGCGCCGCCGGGCGGAGAGGCGCGCTAGGTTTAGCGCGTCGCTGGGGCCGTCAGGGCCTGGTTGGCCTGGCGCCGACCCCCCGTGTCACGAGACGGCCAGTCGCCTACCTGGGGAAGCCTCGCAGAGAACATTTGCGACGATCAGTCGCCTACCTGGAGATGGTGCCGATCTCCCCCCCTCCCGTTTCCCAGAATAAATTCGCGACGATCAGTCGCCTGCCTGGGGGGGATTCGCGTGGGACACTTGCGACGATCAGCCGCCTGCCTGGAGATGTTGTCCCCCCCCTTCGCCCCCCCGTCTCTCGGGGGCCCTTGAGGCGATCGGTCGCGCGCCTGGAGGCGATGGCCGCCCCCCTTCCCCTCGGGGCGTTGTCCTGCAATGCCCCTCTGCGCCGTCAGCCGTCATCGGATGTCCCGGCGCGAGCGCGGGCCGCCCTCCCGCCGACGACGCCGACGCCGACGACGCCAGCGCCGACGACGACGCCGACGCTGCCGCCGACGCCGACGACCTGGGGACAGATCAGGCGTTGGAGCAGAAGCCAGGGGCGCCAGACGAGCAAGAGCAGGCGACCACCCAACCGCGCACTTCCTCGACTGACCCACCAATCCCGCGCGGCGGGTGCCTCGACAGAGACCTGGAGGATGCGCTGGGCCCCTGTGGCAGAGCCCCGCCGCCCGTGCTGACTGGCGCCGACGCCGACGCCGACGCCGACGCCGACGCAGACGCCGCCCGCCGCCGACCGACGACGACGCCAATGCCGACGACGCCGACGCCGTCGACGACGCCGACGCCCGCGATGACGCCGACGCCGACGCTGCTGAAGACGCCGACGCTGACGCCGACGCCGACGCCGGCGCCGACGACGTTGACGCCGACGACTTGGGGGCAGGGCAGGCGTTGGAGCAGAAGCCAGGGGCGCCAGACGAGCAGGGGCAGGCGACCGCCCACCCGCGCACTTCCTCGACTGACCCTCCAGCCCCGCGCGGCTGGTGCCTCTGCAGAGACCTGGGGGACGTGCTGGGCCCCTGTGGCAGAGCCCCGCCGCCCGTGCTGACGCCGACGCCGGCGCCGACTCCGGCGCCGACGCCGCCGCCGCCGCGGCCGCCGACCGGCGCCGACGCCGCCGACGACGCCGACGCCGTCGGCGACGCCGTCGGCGACGCGGACGCTGACGCCGACGCCGACGACGCCGACGCCGACGACGCTGACGACGCCAACGCCGACGACCTGGGACCAATGCACGCGTTGGAACAGAAGCCGTGGGCGCCAGACTGACAGGAACAGGCGACCACCCACCCGCGCGCTTCCACTGACCCTTCAGCCAGTGGCGGCGACGCGCGGACGGACGCGCTCAATCCTGACGCCGCCCTCCCCTGCAACAGTGCGAGTTCCGCCGGCGCCGTGGAGCGACGGCGCTGCGGCCGGCGCGCGACGCTGGCCGGCGCGTCCGCCTGTAAACGGCTGGGCGCCGGGCCTGGCCCGGGGAACCGGCGATCCTTCAGCCCCCTCGCCGCGCGCGGGGCGGAACCTGGTGCCCGGCAACGTCGACGGCCTGGCGGGGTCTGACAGGCGGCAGACAACCGACGGCGCCGACGCCGACGGCGCCGCCGACGCCGACGTCGACGCCGACGCCGTCGGCGACGCCGTCGGCGACGCCGATGCTGACGCCGACGCCGACGACGCCGCCGCCGACGACGCCGACGACCTGGAACCAATGCAGGCGTTGGAAAAGAAGCCGTGGGCGCCAGACTAACAAGAACAGGCGACCACCCACCCGCGCGCTTCCACTGACCCTTCAGCCAGCGGCGGCGACGCGCGGACGGACGCGCTCAATCCTGACGCCGCCCTCCCCTGCAACAGTGCGAGTCCCGCTGGCGCCGTGGAGCGACGGCGCTGCGGCCGGCGCGCGACGCTGGCTGGCGCGTCCGCCTGTTGACGGCTGGGCGCCAGGCCTGGCCCGGAGAACCGGCGATCCTCCAGCCCCCTCGCCGCGCGCGGGGCGGAACCTGGTGCCCGGCAACGTCGACGGCCTGGCGGGGTCTGACAGGCGGCAGACAACCGACGGCGCCGACGCTGACGACGACGCCGACGCCGACGTCGACGCCGACGCCGACGCCGATGACGACGACGCCGACGCCGACGACCTGGGGACAGCTAGTGCACGCGTTGGAACAGATGCCGGGGGGGCCAGACGAGCAGGAGCAGGCGACCGCCCACCCGCGCGCTTCCTCGACTGACCCTCCAGCCCGTGACAGCGACGCGCGGGCGGATGCGCCCCGTCCTGACACCGCCCTCCCCCGCAACAGTGCGAGTCCCAGCGCCGAGGAGCGACGGCGCTGTGGCCAGCGTGCGCCGCTGGCGCGGCTGCCTGCAAGCGGCTGGGCACTGGGCCTGGCCCCGAGAGCCGGCGATCCTCCGGCACCCTCGCCGCCCGCGGAGCGGAACCTGGTGCCCGGCGACGTCGATGGCCTGGTGAGGTCTGACAGGCGACAGACGACGGGCGGCGAGAGCGGCGGCAGCAGCAGCAGCGACGCCTGGAACCAGCGAGCCGCCGCGTCCGACGGGGGCGGGTGGCGCGCCGCCCGCCAGTGGCCTGAACCCCTGGATCCCGACGCGGGAAAGCAGCTTTATAAAGTCAGGATCGAAGGCGTGCAGTGGGAGGTTTACGGGAGCCCCCCGGCACAAATATCAAGGGACTCCAAATCACCCTGCGGGCGATGTTCACAAGCACTTGGCACGCGTTCGTCCAGAAGCGCGCCTGACCCGGTTCCAGGGCAGCACTCGACCCGCTCCGGCACGACCAGCAAACGCGCGTCAGCTTCTTGGACTCCTTCCGCCACCGCAAAGGGGGCGCGCGGTCCATGGGCGACGCGCTGCACTTCGGGGTTGATTGGAAACAGCTGCGCGAGCGGTACCTGTGGCGTGGCGATGGATCGGGTGAGGAAGGCGATGCCCCGCCGCGGAGACAGGCGCCCTTGGTCCAGGCTGGCAGCCGCGCTCCAGGACGGCCACGGAACCTGGGGGAGGAGCGTTCCTGGGCCTAGCATCACTTCCTGCCTCGTTTCCTGGGGTCCTCCTGTATTCGGATTTTGCAGCGATCAGCTGCTCCTGGGTTTCGCATCGTCTTCCATCCTGTCCTCCGTGCATTTGCAGCGATCAGCTGCCGCTCCTCATCATCCCTTGTTCCGTCACCACGCTTTTGCAGTGATGAACTGCTCCTGGGGTTCGCCATCGCCTTTGTCCTCCGTTCGTTTGCAGCGAGCAGCTGCCGCTCCTCATTGTCCCTTGTTCCGTCACTCCTGGCCCTGTTTCACAGCTTGCAGCCGCCCCGCGGGCAGCCCAACACGTGCTGCCCTTGGTCGCGCTGCAGCTCCTTTCCGGCGAGAGGTGGCCCCTCTCCCTGCTCAGCATGTGCAGTCAGTCTGCCAGTGCTTGCCCTCGCCTGGGGGCATCTGACCTGCCCGCAGGAGGGCGCGGAGCGGCCGCAGCCCGGCCAACCCAGCTTCCCCCTCCCGCTTGAAATCCACGGGGGGGGTCCCAGAGCGGCCGTAGCCCGTCCGTCCTCCGCTACTTCCTCGCGGTGCTTGTCTCCTACGTGTCAGCATTCATCTTCGCGTTTTACACGGTACCTGGAGGCCGTTTCCTTTCACGACTGCTACTCACCCGCTGTTCCTGTTCGTCTCTTTGGTGTTTTCGCTTCTCCTGCTGGTCCGTTCGCTGTTCTACGTCGTGGAATCCTACTGGGTCTTCTGCTACGTGTTCGGCAAGGTACCTGGGGAATCGTTGGCCCGTTTCGCCCTTTTCCTTCCTGGTCACCGCCGTCCTGGGTAAGTGTGGCGTTCTCCCGCCGATTGTTCACCAGCGTCACCATCGGCATCCCAGTGAGCGTGCTTCCGGTACCTGTGTGACGCCTCCCGCGACATTTTGGCTGCGTTTCGCTCTGCTCCGCTCTGCTCCGCTCTGTGGCGGCGTGGTTCTCCGCGGTATTTCCTTCGCTACGGCGCGGCCCGCCCCAGCGTGCTCGGCGTTCGACTTGCTTCGCGCGCCCGCGTACCAACAAGTATTTCTTGGATCGCGGCGCTGGAGGAGCCACCGGGGGAGCCTCAGTGCCGATTCAAGAACTCCGCGCGGAAGCTTGCACATTCGTGTTTATTCCTCACATGCTTAGTGGGGACCTGGTTTTCTTCCCTGCCGCGTCGCACCCCGTCTCCCTCCTCCCTTGCTGTTCTTTCCTCCCTTACAGACACATACAGACACATACACACAGACACACAAACACACAGACACTTTTACACAGACACACACACAAACACACAGACACACATACACACAGACACACACACACAACCACACAAACAGACACGGCCGCACACACATCAGACACAGACACAGACACAGACACAGACGCAAGGCACGGCAGGCGTGGCACTTTCTGGACGCCAGAGGGGGTGTGCAGGAGGTGGTCCCTGAGCGCAGTCTCCATATGCGCCAGGCTCGCAGGGCATGGTAGGCGTGGCACTTACTCGACACCACAGGGGGTGCGATGGGGGTGGGGGCGCTCTGCGTTGCAGGCTCGCAAAGCATGGCAGGCGTGGCAGTGGGCTGGGGGCGCTATGCAAGCTCGCAGGGCATGGCGGGCGTGGCATTTCCTCGATGATGGGGGTGGGGGCGCTGTGCGTTGCAGGCTCGCAAGGCATGGCAGGCGTGGCATTTCCTCGACGCCACAGGGGGTGCGCTGGGGGTGGGGGCGCTATCCGCCCTGGTCGTCCACGGCACAGCAGGCGTGGCACTTTCTTGACCACCTAGCATCATCCACGTATGTTGCACGTCAGCTATGCTAAGACGAGAGTTAAAGCGAAGCGTATGGAGTTGCTCGGTAGCGTAATGCTTTTTCGTTTCCGAGGGAGGTGCGAGGGAGGTGGACAGGGCAGGAGGACCACCCCACCTCACGAAGGAGCCCATGATTCCTCGGGGCCCTGTCTCCTGGGGCGGCGCGGCCGCATCCGCGGCCTGCAGGACGGACGGGGGCCCCTCCGAGGGCGGGCGGGACTCCTCGTCGTCCCAGCTCTCCCACTCCTCGTCCGGAGCGATGAAAGACACAACCACAACCGCTGGGCTGGGACGACCCCGAACCCCACAGCGGTGACGACGTGCGCGCGGCACTCGGAACGGGGCGCCTCGCGCAAGTCATCACCGCTGGGGAGTCGGGGTCAGCCTCGGGGGGCGCCATGGGCAATTCCATCAGCCCAGCGGTGGTGGCTGTCTCTTCTTCTCCCGCGATCCTCGGGCTCCCCCACTCTCGCGGCGTTCCACGCGCGGTGCACGAAGCAGCCGTGCACCGGGCCCTTCAGCTCGAACACTGCGTCGATAGGGTCCTCGAACCGCCCAGCGCCCACCCTGAAGCAAAACACCTCCAGGGCGAAACGGTCCTTGCCAGGCATGACCCAGGCGCAACCGTTACGGCGGTCCACCATGCAAACGTCCCACTTCTTGTGGGGCCCCTTCACCTTGAACTGAACCGTGATGTTGGTTGCCGTGGGGGGCAGCAACCTGTGGTGAATCGGCGGCGCGCCGAAGGGGTCAATGACCTTCTCGGAAGGCGAAGGGCTTCTCAGAAGCTCTCCGGTCTTCTGAGAAGCCCTCTGCTGTTTCGGAGGAGGCCCAGACAACTTCTCAAAGTCCAGGGGCATTTTGAGCCTTCTGGGAGGGCCCGCCCCTCCTTTCGTTTTCCCCCTGTGCGCGCTGCCGATCGTGAACTCTGGGGGCGCCAGCGGCCAACGCTTTCCAGGAAGAAGCGAGTATGCCAGTTAAGGTCTGACGAGGAAGACTAGCTGGAGAACCATGGCAAGTACCCTACAGTTGATGCATACGACAAGACATCTTGCTATGAGAAATCTAAGAGCGCGATTATCGTCGAGCTTTGAGCTTCCTTAGGTGTTCCAGGGCTTCTTTGGGCCTCCAAGGCCATCGGGGCGCCTATTGTAAGCCGACAGAACCTCCAGACGATTACGGTCAGGAGTTTTTCATTAGCGTCTCGCGGCGGCGGCATCAGAGACATGCTATGCCCTACAGGCGGACAGCGCGTCGCTCCATTCCGCGTAGCGGGAGGCGGGAACTGTGCTCGGTAGGTTCACTGCTGGGGACCGGCATGTGCTTCGCGTGTCGCGCCGAAGCGCGGTGGACCAGAACTGGCGGCGCGACACGCTGAGCCAAAGTTCCCGACCGTGCGCGCGCCCTCTCGGCCAAACCTCTGCGGCAACTCATGGGAGCCTCCCATACCATCTTGTTGGCTGTTGCGAATGGACGCCCGTCGGCGCTAAAATGAAGTTAATCGACACTAGCCGACGTCAAATCGGCGCTATCTCATCGATTACCAGACGTTAATCAAGGCGAGTGCGCTCCGTAGACGGACTTGTGAGGGTACATAAAAGCTCCAATGACTTGCTACCGAAGGCCAACTTCCCATCTGCCCAGCCCGGGGACCTCTCGGCCTCGTACCAGCCGTTGTGGAGCGGGTCCTCGGAGGGCGGAGCGGAGCGCGCCGAGTCCGCGGGCCAGCCCGCCAACGGGCCCCCTAGGGGCAGCGCGGGTGGGCCGGGCCCATCTGTTGCATGTGCTGGAGGAAGGCGTGTTCATACAGAATGCCCTTGGGTGGAGCACCAAACGTTGGTTGGATTATTCTTGCGATCGGATGTCATGGAACAATTGGGAACACGTCCTCGGAAGGCATGGGGCAAGAATGCCTCTGCTACCGGCAGGGGCGGCGCGGGGATACCAGCGCGGCCTCTGTGGCCCAGGCTAGGCTAGGCCGCCCTCCCGTCCGTGGGACGTCGTGGGAGACCTCGTCGCACAAGGCAGCGGCTTGTGCGCAGAAGCGCGCCCCCACATGACACTCCTTTGCCACAGAGACGACTTCGGCGTGATGGGTGAGGTTGTGGCACGACGCAGAAACTTACGCGAGACGACGACGACGACGACAGACGAGGACGACGGACACGACTACCGACGACGACGACGACGAACACGACGGCGACGCTGACGAGGGCAACGCTAACTACGACGACCGCGACGACGATGACGACGAACACGTCCTCGGAAGACAGCCAGTGCCCGCGCTTCTCCGACCCGTTCTCCCACTCGACGAGCATGGCGCGTGGGCACAGCCTTCTGGGCCAAGCGAGAAGTCCAGGGCGCAGCCCGAAGAGAAGAGCCAAGGCAAGGTCCTCCCCTCCGCACCGAGAAGAGCTAACTAACCTTCCATCCTGTCCCGCGCCCTACAATTTCCCGCTCCCTCCTCCTCCTCCTTTTCTCCCTCCGCCACCTGTCCACAACCCTCTGTCCTCTTATCCCTCCTCGTTCCTTCCTCATCCGCTATTGGCTCCCTCCCACGCCCCCTCTCGTTCTTCCCGACACAAGCCATACAGCTCGCATCCCTCCTTCCCTCCATCCTCCCTCTTCGCCTCGTCCACCGTGCCTCGTACCGTCCTGCCTGCACTCCGACCTCCTTCGTCCTCGCCTGGTCCCTCTCTCGCCTCCTGCCTTCGTCCCTCCTTCCCTCCCTCCCTCCCTGTCCTCCTCCGCCGAAGTCATTTGGAAAACAATACTAGCCTTCGCCTTCAGTGATTACCGAACACTCTGGGTATCTATATGTCCGCGGGTTACTTTGTACAACAAGCCAGCAAAGAGACGGAAACGGCTGTAATACCCGTCCTTGCCTGGTGACGTGCGCGTGCTGGCCGCATTGGAATCCTACAAAATGGAAGTAGCTAGGTCACGGTCAAGCCACGCAGGCTCTAAGGCGAGCCCATCAAGTGCGCAGAGCTACGTGCGCGCGTGCCACGATCACTCAAACAGAGCGCGCGCGCCTACAGTACTTCACAGTCATGCTGTGATCGCTGCGGCTCACGGTGGAGTATGGGCTTTCAAATCCCGCCCCTTGGACTCTCCAACGCAGCAAGGAACGACAAAACCATAAACTTT